CGGATCTCCTTTATTCACAGGCCTGGATATAATCCCTTTATCCTCAGCTGCAAAGTTGGCCCATCTCATTTGAGTAGTTTTTTTTTTTAAAGCACTGAGATTTAATAGCTATTTTTAGTCTTTGCTCTGAGATTGAGTGGTTTTCAAGCCATTTAAATGCAATTCCAGGTTTAGGGCACCCCAGAGAATTGGTGGAACTGGGTCTGGCCTCACTTCTGTCTCCCTTCACCAGAGTTATGTGAGAAGCTACCAGTAAACATGTGTCAAGTGAAGTTCAAGGACTGAGGGTCGCTGAATCCAGCCTCATTCTATACAAGAAGCTCTATGCTGTAACTTGTCTTGGGCCACATGGTTACTTTATGACCAGGCCTAGGACAGAGGACACATTCTACCCATTTCCTGTCTGCTGTTGTGTGGTCCCCATTACTCATACAATTGCTGGGTAAACCAGTGCCCCTCAACAACCCAGGGGACATAGATGGAAAAATTATAAGTAAAAATCTTGAAAGGATTTCGAATGTCTCCCAAATAAGGAGGAAAACCAATAGTCGCTCAAGCGTCCAAGACCCCCAAAGAGAGGCACAGCTCCAATTTGAAAACTTGAAGTTTTAAAACTATGAAGAGAAAATCTATTTTTTTACCTTTGTGGTTGAACCAAGAACTAAAGATATTTTAATCTATTGAGAACTATGTGTTTTACTATTAAGCCCATTGACTTAATCTTCAAAACCATATATGTGCTCTCTTTCACAGTATTTTTGGATTCAGCAGCTCGTCAGAAAAGGCAAGTGGAATAATTTACCTTCTTAATTCATGGAGTTAACTTTGCTTTGGACAGGATTTAGTCTAATTTTATTCTGCCTTCTAATCACTTCCTTCAGGTGACTCTTCAGCAGAGATGAGCGTATACGCAAGCTTGTTTAAAGAAAACAACATTACAGGAAAACGCCTGCTTCTTCTGGAGGAAGAGGACTTCAAAGACATGGGCATTGTCTCCAAGGGGCATATCATTCATTTAAAGGTACCTCAGAAAGGGAGAACATTCAGTCAAATCTTTATTGAGCTCCTACTATACAGCAGATCACGTGTTGTGTTCGAGGCTGAAGAAAGAAACATGGATGTGCTGGTTGTTTAGTGCTCAGATACTTCCGTCCAATTGATGATTAGCTATGGCCCCCATCGAACCCCTACTTCCTCCTCATAATCCAACAACAAAAGTGTCAGTACCTGGCACAGGAGAAGTCATCTGGACACACCTGAATGTGAATACACATGTCCTCAGGAAGTCTTTAGTGTAGCGAAGAAGGTGGGTGTTAATCATGCACTAATGGCAAAGTGACAGATGTAAGAAATGCCGCAGAGAGGAGTCGAGGTTGGGATG